AAATCTTTCTGACCTATATCTATATTATGCCCTGCAAAATCTGACCTATATCTATATTATGCCCTGACAATGCAAAATCTTTCTGACCTATATCTATATTATGCCCTGCAGTAAAAGTATTTGAAAAATTCCTGTGGCCGATCATAAAAGACCACCTAATTCTGGTGGACCATCAACACGGCTTCCGTCCAAATTATTCGACAACTTCTGCACTCACCATGGTTACTACCAACATTGCAAATAGACCCCTGGACCCCTTCAAAACATCAAAATCGTGTCTTACGCCGATGATTTCACAATTTATATAACTAGTCCTAATGTGGACACTTTGACCCAGCAGCTTAATTGTTACCTACCAAAACTATACAATTTGTTCATTCAACAATAACCTTAGTATTTAATCTTAAAATATTGGGCTTAACTTTTGACACAACGCTGTCCTTTTCATATCGTCATAAGCTGGCAGCATCAAAAGCCTCAAAAAGAAACATTTTCAAAATTCTCAGTGTTGTTTCCTTTGGTCAAAACAAAAAACTCTTTTACTCTTTTAAAGACTTACAAAACAATCGGTCGCTCATAAATAAAATATGCATATCTTGATTTTAAATTCAAAACTGCATATGAAGGGAGGGTAACATTACAGTAAGCTATTTTTTTTCTTTTATATAAACGTTGATAGTCGTTGAATAAAGATTTTTATTATTTATTATGTTTTTTTATATAAACAAAAACCTTCTAGTCATCCAGGGCATAATTTTTTCTTGATTCCAAAGTTGGACGGATTTGAAGATATCAAGCATATTTTCATTACCTACTACTATACACTCTTGAAGTTGTTCAACACTAGGGTCTAATATCTTCAAAATTAGATTTTGTCAACAACAAAAATAATTAAAAATAAAATGCAAAAAGTTTTATACTATAATACTGGCATCAAGTACTAGCATAGATGTGATTAGAGGTGTATTTTGTTCTTTAGATTCATTGATTTTTCTGAAAAGGTAAGAGTTTTGTAAACAATTTTGCATCTATGTTTTGAAATCCATTTTTTATTAAAAATTAAAATGACAACACTTCTAAAACTGCACCAAGTAACGAGTTAAATAGGTCTGAATATCAAAGAATTTAATCGTTAGTGGATCATAGTCAGAAAAAAGTGAAATTTTCGATGCAACTAAATTTTTCATCGCAAACTTAAATTTTTTCCTCCATCTTGCATATAAATAACAAAAGTGTTTTTGAAAAAGTAAATGGACTAGAACTGTTTTAATAATATACCCATTCAGGTATCTTAGTCCCGGTTAAACGATGTGGCAAACTCATTAGTCAACTTACCAGGCTCCAATTTTATAGGAAAAAATCGTTTACATAAAATTGGACGCTGTGTCGGAGTTTTTATACAAAATTCAATACCAATCGTAGATGATACAATAAAAAAATTAGTGCAGATTCATTAGACTCCATATCAATTGAAGTTTTTTCATGTGGAAACAAATCCATAAAATTGAATCCATTTACCGTCTACCTAAATGTGACATAGACGTCTTCATTCTGCAATTTGAAAAGCTGTTAATCAACTCCGGCCAACTCTCTCACATAAAATGTTACTTCAACATCAACATACAGCCTTAGAATCGATTTAAAAGATATCAAGTATCATCACCAGAGATAAAAAACAAAATGTTGTTAGATTACATTAAAAAAGAAAAAAATTATTGAGATCAGAGTGAGAAAAGGATTTTGATGTAGATCTGTTGATTAATTCTATCATTTTACAATGAAATCAGAGATAAAGAACCAAAGGAGCTCAACAAACAAACACACTAAACTAAGGTAAAAAATGTAAAAGATCTGGTTAGCCAGTTGTATAAAAAATTTATGAATAAATTTGTAATCAATATAGAGGCAAGGAGATGCCATTTATTTCAGGCTGCAGGTATGCGTGCTCGAACGGCAGCTTCAGCTGTTCCACTACAATCCAGAACATTCCCTAGATATTAAAACGATGTGACTTTTTCTACCTTAATGGCTTCAAAAACATTGCTATTTCGAATTTGTTGTTGTGGATTGATACAAACAGGACAGACAAAATTGGACACTTTAGAAAAAGTACTAATTATTTTTTAACAACGTTTGTGACACCACTGGTTACACTGCTGACGCCTGATTGAATTGTTACCTACACAAGCTTTACAAACTGAACAGGGCCATCATCCTGTAGCTGTGGATTGGTTGGGTTCATCAGTGTTCAATGCTTTGGTTTTGCTGATGTTGACTTTGAATCTATGATCGGCGAGTCTGGTGTTCCAATCTTCAAACATCTGTGCTGCATTCTGCTCAGACGTGGCTGTTAAAACGATATCATCAGCATATAATAGATTCCAAATGTCACCAGTGCGTATCGGTTTTGTGATTTCTTCCATCAAAGTTATAAATAACAGTGGACTGAGTATCGAGCCTTGGTGAACTCCTACGCCAATGTCAAATGCATCTGAGTTTCCAACCGTTGGGCTGACGAGAGTCTTAGTATTCGTATACATTTCCATCACAAGTCGAACAAGATATTTTGGAATTAGTTGTCAACGTAGACTCCATTTGCTTGTTTCACAGGGAACTCGATCAAATGCTTTTTCAAGGTTTACAAAAATGTGCGATAATTGTTGATGCTATGCAAGGTACTTCTCTTGCTAAAAAATGAATTAAATGAAAAATCCAATAAAACTCAAAAAAACTTGACGTTTAAAATTCTTATGTAGAGAAGAGCACAAATAATAGTTGAAACACAATAAAAAAAACTGGACCAAATAAATGCTATCGAATTAACAGAAATAAAAATGAAAGATGCGAACTGCAATGGAGACAGAAAAAGATATTCGTGAGTATGAAAAAAGTATGTGGGAGTGTTGGTGACAAACAGATTGACTTTTTTGGAAGCAGTAAAAAGAAAGAAGGAATCACATCCAAATAAAAAATTTTGAACACATGGCGTAAAGAATTCTAATAGCCTTTAAAAGAGATAAACGGCAAAACAGTCAAGAAAAGAAATTCTTTTAATACACAGCAGCATAAAGAACAAACTAGAGTAGCTTCAGAAAATAAAGGGACTCCTATCAAATATTTCTCTTGTGATAGATAATTTTTAAAAAGGCTGAAATGTAAATTTTATAGCTTAGCCCAAGACTATGACTTGGAAAGAAGAAACATGGAAGATTCCAAAAAATTACAAAATTACAAAAACAAAGAGATAGCGAAAACTTTCACACAGCAACTTGCAGCCGCGTCTCGAGATTAGCGGTTGGGAAACTGAGTGGTTTCAGATAGTAACAGGATTGAGTGTTATTCGCCGACATTCTTTAAAAACGGCATAACATGAGCCAAATTGTCAGGGTATGGGTTGTGCGATTATTTGTCTAGCATGAACTCTTGATGAATTACATTAATTAAAAGTAACTGACCAAAAAACAAACTTAAATTATAAATAAATTAAAACATAGCAAAAAAACATGATTTTTACCCAAGCTGGAATATGGCTTGAAATTGAGAAGATCGTATAGTTAACCACATTGATCATTTAGGCAACAAATCAAACGCAGAGAAATCAGAAAAAGAATTGAAAAAATAATGGTTTTAGCAGAATTAGCATTTAAAAAGACTGCGCAAAAAATCTTCAAAAGACACAACAGTCTGATAATGAAATTAAAAGTTCTGATCACGTGTTATTTTGATTCTCCAGTATGGTGCTGAATCATTAAGTGGTATTTGATTTGAAAGATGGTGAAGGTTTGTAAAGAAATTGTGATTTACATTTATTGATAATGTTGTTGTTGTCTTCAAGGGTACATCTGAAAACTAAAATTATTGATTTTTTGTACAAATGAGTGTAACAAACATTCATAATACTCTTATTAAATGTTTTTTGATATAAGAATTTAAAAAAATTATAAGAAAAGAATTATCAAAATATAAACATACAGTCGCTTTCTAATCGTGTCAGCAGTTGATTTAGTTGATTTGAACAAACAATCTGTAAATTTTATGTTAAATGACATATAGAAATCTTTTAATTTGTCCGCAAAAACATTCAGTTCGTTTTCGATAGAATCCAAAGATATAGGTTCGACACCGTGAAGAGGTTCATTACTCACTGAAAAGGGATAATTATGAAAATTAAAAGTAATTTTTTATATTATAATTAGCAGTAATCTTGAATTTGAATACTTTTACGATAGATATAGATAAACAACAGTTTTAAACAATAGACAACCAGGCCTTCCAAAAAATATTTGTTTATATTTAAAAGCTTAATGGAGTTATAAAATTTATTAAAGTAAAACAAACTTATTGTATAAAAATAGCCATCAGATATTTTGTACAGCGACGGAAACTAAAAGCATTGTAGGTTAATAGAAATAGATCACGAAATGAATTGAAAAAGCTTTTATGACAAATAGTCATTTTAAATTTTACAAAATTCATTTGTCGAACATTTATAAAGGATGTTGACCATATGATACCATTTTTATTACATTATCATTTATAGAATAAATTTTACATAAACAAGAACGCATAAACATCACAAAGGTTTCATTAAACTTTGTTGAAAAAAGTAAAAAACCTGTAAATCATTTACTTAATGTTAATAAAAGTTGAAAAAGCATTCTTTTGGGAGTAACTCGTCTTCAAATTTTATATAAAGTTTGTCTTTCTTGAATACTTGGCGCACGCTCTATTTTCCATTCTATATAATAAATCAGACGAACTTCTGACTGAACACGTCTGTCCTGATTCTTATCTGTTTTTCCAATAAGGTTGTTATAATGTTTAACAGATAATTAAAGATTTGATAACATGCATTCCTTTCGAGTCATGTCGAATTTTCGTTGTTTCAGTTCTTTAAGCAATAAGAAAAAGTCGTAGTCCTTTCTTGAATTTGACGGAACGCTCCGCTACCTTTAACACCGAAATCAGAATAAGCTCCTCCGCACTGACTTCTCCAAAACTGTTTCCAATGATGATGTTAGGATTTAATATAGCTTTAGCTGATTCGGTCAGGTACATTTTTTCGCTCCTCAAGTTTGCTGCCTAATTTTATTTCTGTTCTGTTCTCGATTGTCGCGTTTTACAACAACCCTTCAAATGCCAAGTCTCTCATACGAATTATTAGGTTGACTCTCACAAAAATAAGTGCTGTTCCTCCAGTGGTTGTTCGTACTATTGCTGTTTGTTGATCCAATATTTTTTATAATATTTTTTTATATTTTTTATGTATTTAAATAAAATCGATAATTAATTCAATTTGTATTGAACATGAGTTAATTTATTTGATTATTGGCAAGTCGGAAATTTTTAACGGTCCAGAGTCGGGCCGAAGGGCCGAGTTACTCCAATACTAGAAAATGTTATTAATTTAAAAAAAATTTTATTATTTTTTTCTAAAAATTTTTTCTGATTGCATTTTTTAAGGATGAATATGTGTAGCAATAACACTGAAAATTAATGCAAATAATGTAAATAAAATTACCTTTTTCAGTAAATTTGAAACATAAAAACAAAGTAATTTTACTAAAAAACATTTACATTGACGGATTTTAAGTGATTTTTTTTATAGTGATTTTTATTTAGAGTTTTATAATGTGAAATTATAATGCAAAAGTTAAAAAATTTTTATCCGGATTCGGAGTCGGATTTTTTTGAGGGGTCAGAGTCGGATTCAAAATTTTTTGAGGAGCTGAAGTCGTATATTTTTCTCCGACACTCTGGGTAGAAGTGGCATGTTTTAAGCTGTTACTACACAATGGCCTGATTCGAATGCTATCTGTCTGAAACTCAAAGACTATCGTAAGCCATTCGTGAAAGATGCGTGCGTGTGCATACCAAAAAATTTATCGGCAGTTGAAAAAATTTCATCCAACTACGACACACTGGAACTTAGCAACTTTTCAAATTATTTTACAAAAATTTTACATTTTGAAGCAAATTTTGCCAATGTTTGTTTAAAATGAACAATAATTATGTGCTTCGTCATTTGCGTTAAACATTGTTGTTAGGCACGATTTACATAAATACAATTAGTAGTAAAAATTATGGGAATGTTAAAGTTTCTATAAAGTTTGTATAAAAATTTTTGTTCATGCTAATTTGTAACCAAAAATTAGTCTGTAATGTTAACAATAAATCGTTACTGATTTAAAACAAAGCACTTAAATTTTGAAAAAAAAATTTGTTCTCACCAATACACAATTACAAAAACTTATTATTTACCACTATCACTAATGGACAAGTCGCAGATGCAATTTTATTTAGATATAATAGCTTTTTTTAATGTCATGCATATGTTTTTGAACAACACTACTTAAAGGAATCCGGTCGAAATTTGGCCATATTTCTAAATCTGTCCCAAAAATTGCGCCGCATTTCAGATTTGTGTCGGTTATTTTTTTAAATTGTCACACCTAAGTTTGGATTTATATTCTTTTGTGCCTATCTCTACTTGTTTGCCTTTATTTGTTTCTACGCATGTGCGTACATGTACATTTATTTGTGAGAATGTATTAAAAGTAAGTATATTTTAATGTATACTTACTTAAAAAATTTATAAAAATAATACTAATAAACTTTTTGAATATTGCTAAATCAGGCAAAATCTTTACAGAAAAAACCCAAATATCAAAAAGATGGAGAGAATACTGCGAAGAGCTGTACTCAGATAAAACGACAGCAAAGATTAATGAAAAGTTAGTAGACTATCCAATTTATAACGAGCCTCCATCACTGAAGTCTGAAATTGGCTCGGGCGTGGCATGGCGTAAAGCCGCAGATTCGGACGATGTGTCTGCAGAATTATTCAAAGCTGGAGGTAAGACGGTACTTAATAAGATACACAGGATGTGTTTAGAGGTGTGGAGCACAAAAAAGTGGCCAGTGGATTGGACACAATTAGTGTTTTTAAAAATTTAAAAAAAGGTAGAAGTAGTAACTTCAAAATAGTCCCCGGTCAAGACAAATGTGTATTTTTTGCCTATTCAATATCTTGGCGGAAATGGTAATGAGAGAAACTCTGGCTGGTTTTGAAGGAAGAATAAACGTAGAAAGATGAAAAATAACAAACTTGAAATATGCAGATGACATAATACTTTTGACCACTAAAAAAGAATTACAGAACTTGGTCAACAGAGTAGAAACAGCCCACACCAAATACAGCCTAATAATTAATGATGATAAAACTAAAGTGATTCACATAAACGGAATCAAATTGAAAATTAGAACCAATGGAGTTTGGTTGAAATCAGTGCTGGGCATTACGGACAAAGCTAAATGCACCAAAGATATCAGAGGAAGGATTGGCAAAGCACAAGGGGTTTGCATGCTACACACGTTGGTATGACCAGTAGCAATTTATGGTTCGGAAGGTTGAATATTGAAAAAAGAAAATGAAAGAAAAATTGAAGCATTTGTAATAAAAGGTTTTAAAAACATAACTGAGGGGGGTATCATGGAAAGGCAGAAAAACAATTGAATGGTTTCTAAAACTGGAGTACAACGAAAATTACTGTTGTCAAAATTTTTGAAAAGAGAAAATTAAGCTACATTTGGTCACATCTTCAAGAAACACCAATGCATGGAAAAAAATATAACATAAGGAACGCTGTCCGGATCAAAGCAAAGAGGAATGCAAAAAGAAGATTGATCGATGACATAAAGAATCGGAAGAGTTGCTGAGGAAGACGCAGGACGGAGTTAACTGGAGAAAATATGTTCATGATGCAGCCTATCTTGAATCAAGGATGGTTAAAGACAAAACAACATATTAATCAATGAGCATAATGTCAAGCGAAAAAATTACGATTACAATCATCTGATTGATACGATTATCCTCATTATATCTTAACTACTTTTAAATTATATCAAACGTTAGTAAAGAAGACATCAAGCTGTGGTTAAGAAAATTGTTTTTCGAAATATGTTACAATGTATAACCACAAATGTTCAAATCAGGCTTTTTTATATACGTACGTTATAATGTACATTTGTTTTCATATATATACTGTAACTATTATATGTATTTCATATTAACAGAAATCGATAGAGTTATCAATTCATTTATTGAGCATAAGTTAATTTGTTCAATTATTGATAAGAAAGTAATATAACGAAGTTTTATGCGTTAGCTCAGCCAATAGAAGTGCTAATTCTTGCAATATTATTACGTAATAGTATGGTTTGAATGCTGTCTATCCGAAACTCAGACTATCATACGCCATTCGTATATGACGCGGTGCTTGCGTGTGCCGTGCATACAACAAACGTGTGTATGTCGTATGGTGTAGATAGTACAGTTTTTGTGACACAAATGTTAAACTCTAAATATAGAATTATATGCAAGCAGTTTTGCATATGCCATAGCTCTGGAATAAATCAAAACAAATAAAAAATTTTATGTAACAATATTTAAAGAAATCTAGAAAGAGATTTTAAGCCAAACTGTAATAGACTAAAAATAATTAATTTATTTACTTAATAAGTTTTAGATAGGGAAATATTATTGCTAAGTTTAAGGTGGGTATGACTAGTATAAGCAAGCTAATAAAGCCATAGTCACAAGTTATAGCATAAAATGTAACAGATGCACAAATTTAGCTTCGGTTCTATTCTGTAAATCTGGCTGAAACGGGTTACAGTCAAATTTGAAAAAATCAGATAATTTGGTACAGTGTTACCACGTTTTCACTAATTACACTTGATTGTTTTCAAGTTTGCTTGTTTATAAACCTTACAATAAAATTTTTGATAAGTTTTTAATTATTCTTATAACTGAATTCCTTTTAGTCTCTTCAGCCACATGTCATTTCTACATATACTATGGATAAAATTAAAATTTGATAATAATCTATCCCCAGTTTTTTTTATAAAGAACTTATACATTCAAAGCTAAGAATTATTAATATTTAGTCTAAAACTGAAAAATGTTATTATCATTTTTTTTAGTATTTATTATTGCAGCTCTGACATACGCAGAACCACTTACAATGTTACAGATATATTATCTGTATATTTTTTATTATGTTCTTTTTTTTCTTCATCTATTGATTTGAAGCAGCCATCTTCGCCACAAAGTATGTTAATCCTTTTCACACAACGTACACATGTATTTTATATGCACGCGCATATACGCTGAGTATATGATAGCCGTTGAGATGTTCGACTCAGCGAGTATTCGAACCACTGAGCCATCTCGCCGGCCAACATGCGACAACTTACGTCGTCTACCCATTTACCGACCTCGACAGGATGGACGGCTGGGTTAGCCGGGGGTCGGCTACCCGGATGAACCTGTAGAAACTGCAGGATTCGAATAGGGTCGTGGGAGCGGTAGATGGACACGCTAACCACTCGGCCACGAGACCCCAATTATACCATATATATATATATATATATATATATATATATATATATATATATATATATATATATATAATTTTTATTAGATCTTGTTTCATTTTTTAAAATTAGTTTCATCGTTTTTAAGCTTATTTAAAATTTTCCCATTTGATAACAAAGTCTAATTAAGAAAACAATAACTTTCTAAAATTACGACAAAAATTTCGAAAAAAAAGTTGCAGAAAAAAAGGTATGCAATACTTTCTAATTTCATTCTCTCTTTATCTTCTTCCACTTGTAAACATTTATATATCATATTAAGCGCTCTTTCAACAATTTGATTAGTAATATTAGATATTGTTTGTTGAACATTCATACTAGCAAGAGATAATTTAGCAGCTTTTAACTTTGTCTGTCGTTCCATCTCTTCCATGTATTGCGATAAAGTCCATCCCTGATATGAAAATACAACGTTTATCATGTGCTAAAACATTTTTAAAAAGTAACTATTTGCCTGAACAATATCGATATCAAATAATAAACTTGTAGCTATGTTGTCAAGAACATTGTCAATACGTCTCTCTTTAAGAATGACAATTTTATCAATGAAAAGCTCTAAATCATCCAACTCATTTATCATCCATTTGCAATAACCCGACAACCCCGCTGAAGTCCATGTTAATGAGCGAACTCCGTAGCCTAAGGTATATGTAACCTGTATTTATAATATATATATATATATATATATATATATATATTGTATATTAAATATATATATTTATTTATTTATATATTTATTTATTCATTCAAATCATTCCTAAACAATTCTCAGAGTATAATATACATAACATATGAAAAATTAGTTTAAAGTGTGTATCATAATAATACATATATATTTTTAATATATATATATATATAGAAAAATAAGGATAAAATTTTAGAATCTTATGAAAAATTCGTATCCATAGGTATTGCAAATCATGTATAATAAATTTATTAAGCAATTATTTTAAAGAACTGCGTTATATGTAAGTTATACAAAATTAGCTATTCTCAAAGTAAACGTTAATGTACCTATGTAATGCAAAAACTACACGAATAAATGAATTTTTAACAAGAAAAGAATTATAACAGAAACTGATAAAACTCATGTGTTACCAAAAAACCGTTACAAAAAAAAACAAATAATAAAATCATTCAATCAATCTTCGTTTTGCGTCCAGAGTCCCGGTTTCCCGAGGTAGGACGTAAAAAATAATAATAATAAATAATAAATAATTATAAAATATTAAATAATAATAAAAATAATAAAATAATTATTTACATAATTAATCTAATATATCAAGTCGAAATAGTAAACGCATTTTATGTAAATTATAAATAACTATACATTTTTATAAATAAACCACCAACTCTGTTGAAACTAGTAACAAAGAGATCATTAAAAGCTTCTGGAGGTTTTTTTCTTATTGATTTACTTCGATTCAAAATTACCTTAATAAAATTGAAACATGTCAATTGTGAACATTCTAAAACCATTTCTAAAATTACTTGTAATAAATATTTATGTCTTTTAACTTCATGTTCAGAAAACAAAAGTAATTTGGCTTTGTAAGGTACGGGAAGATTTAATTTGATCATACTGTTGGCCTCTTCAAACACTTGCAACACGACTGGATCTAAGTTAATGTGCATTTTTTCAGAATCTTCATCTTTAGCTAATGGAGAAACTTGAAGAGCTAAAATTAAAAATGTGCATGGGTTAAACGATTTAGGAATTTTTTAAGCAAAACTCTTTTATCTCTTTTTAATTTAAAATGAGAAAAATTTGTAAGTATAAATGATTTTATGTTTTTTAATGAATATTTATAATTATTACTTAATATAATACAATTATTCTATGAATTTTTTGATATTTAGGCGTTCGTCTATATTGAGATCCATTCAAACAACATTGAAAACATGGTTTGCATTTTTGTCGAATAAAAATAGGCAAACTATCTCCATCAAATTCAACTTCCCAACCACCACCCGTACCGCCATCCTCGTCTTCTTTATTTAAAAATGATGCAACCGGCGAGTCTTTGAATCAAATATTTCTTGCTGTCGGCTGTTCGTTTTATAAAATAAGAAAAATAAACTGAAACAAAAAAGATCGTACGTGAAGAAAAAAGTTTGCAATGCTGTAGAAGATGTTACGCAAAAAATCAGCCAGGCTGATTAAAAAGGATAAAAATATTTTTTAAACACCAAAAAAGTTTTGAATTGTAAACATTGTGATGGATTCAAAAATATTATGAAATAATTAAAAGTACAATTTTTTTCAAGCGACTATCGTCAAAGACAATAAATTTTAATTTTGGTTCTAACATCATGGACCCTGTTAAAAACGGCTTCATTTTTTCATGTTCCAAACATCTTGTTATTAAAAATAGAAATTTGGAAAAAAATCAGGCATTTCATCACTACCACATAAAAAAAGTAAAAACTATTGACGAGCACACAAAACAAACTGTAACTTATTTCTACAATCAACAAGGTAAGTCTGTTGCCCTGAAAAGAAAGATTTCGGCACTGTTACAGAAGGTCAGCAAAAGTGTACCATTAAAATAAAATTTAACTTGCATATATCAAAAAAATTTATTTTGAATTCGTTAAACTAAAAATTTAGTTTTTCAACTTTTTCAAACTCCGTCCATCATGGTGTATAACTTTTTCCTCGTCTGAAGCACATCGGGTGTGTATCTGTGAATATCATCAAAATAACAAACTCCAAAAAAATGAGCTTTTGAATCTTTGCTGGAATAATTAGCGTGCAATATTAGAATGTATGTTACACAGGTGTGAAAAATGCCCTGGAAAAATGAGTGTCAAAACTAAGAACATTATTTAAAGAAGCTGAAATTTCATTTGAAAACATAATCAAATTTTATCAATGGTTCCATGATAATAATTGTAGTTTATTGATTTCCGTTGGCAGTTTCATTAAAAGATTTTTACAAAAACTTAGTGAATTGTCGTGGCATTATTACATAAGCAAAGAATAATCGAAATATCTTGGTGATTCAAATGAAAATTTGAAAAATTCAGAGTGCATTCCTTTGATAAATTTCGCTAAAAATTATTCAGTGATAATACAAGATGCAATCCAGAGTTGACATTGGAGGAACATGTAAGTTACTCTTCACCCAATCGTTCTTTATTACTGAGATGATGAAAACTTGTCTGTCAAAAGTGTTTGCATGGTTAGTGACTGTCTTAATCACAATGTTTCCGCAGTTTGTTTTTTAAAAGTATTTAACTAATTATATAAAATTAGTATGATTATCACACTTTTTTTGTTATTATATATATATAATTATAAAATTAGGGTTGACACTGTTGTAAATACAATTGTTAAGAAATGTCCCATCACTGTTGATTTTGTCGAGGTGCCTATTAATTTTTTTGTAATGGTGCCTATTAATTTTTTAAAGTAATTGTTATTAACTAAGAATTGTTTGATACGAGGAAGCTCGGTTTTTATGGAAAATGTCTTGGGGACAAAAGAGCCCAAAAGACCATTGAGTGTTTTTGCTAGTTGATAGGTGGGTGTGAGGCATTGAAAAATAATAGGTTTTAGTGGATTTTTTGGTTTGAGGGCTTTGATGTTTAAACTTTTTTTATATATTTAAAAAATTTATGTTGATATATTTATATATATATATTATTTATTACTGTATTTATTAAACACCATTTTAATATGCAACCAACTTTATTTATTAATGTTTGATATTTATTCAGTCATTTATTGTGTTAACTACGTTTAACAGATATGTTATGACAATAATTTCTAATTTGTTTTACATCAGTTTCATTGATCATTATGTTTAATTTTCAGCATTAATTTTACCAATTTTAATTTAATAAATTATATATCTTAATTTATTTCACTCATATTAATTAACAATTAACATTATTCATAGTATTTCACTTTTACTTCGAAGATGGCAATCAGCCAAAACAGCGCGCTGTAAGACATCAAAAATTAATGGATTTAAGAATGAATTAAAAAATAATTTATATATTATAGTCTTAGGCATGACATAAAACTGCATCTAAGCTGCCTTGCGTGCTTTTGAGCAAAAGGCTAGGCCCACCGTTTATCACTGACGGTTGTCGTCAGGATGGGTGTCCGGATGTAAAGATTTTTCCCAAATTATTCAATGCCAACACAGAAAAACAACGGACCTTAAGTGGTCAAGGGATGCTAAAAATCCCTGGGAAGTATATAAAAGCGAAGGGATGTTGCAGAAAAATTCAGAATTGCCCCTCTTTGGTACTTAGACATGGAACGGTCAATGTTGAATCACTGACTGGCCGCAGCATGGAAATCGCAGAAATGTTCGAACGTAAAAAAATTGACATCTGCTGCCCTCAGAAAACCCGATAGAAATCGAATGGTGTCTAACAACTCAGACAATGAAAAATATAAACTATTCTGGAATGGTCAAAAGACGCCCAAAAATGGTGATGGAATTTTTGTCAAAGAACCGCTAGCCTAGAAGTATTGGATACTAAAAAGATTAACTCACGTTTCATGTGGATCAAGCTTCGCATAGAAAAGCAAACAATGATTATTTTTTCTGTTTACGCACCACAGACAGGCGAATCAGAAGAGATGAAAAATGACTTCTGGGCTGCGTTCTCTCACACCATCTCAACAAAACCAAACTCTGAAACAATCCTGATTGGAGGCGATCTCAATGGCTATGTTGAAGAGAAAACAGATGGTTTTGACAACGTACATGGCGGTTTTGGGTATGGAGAACGGAATGAAGATGGCAACCGTATCCTTGAGTTTGCTGAAAGTCACGAGTAGTGTTTACTGAACACATATTTTAGAAAGAAGCTGGAATATCTCTTAACATACAAAATTGGACCATCAGCCACGCAAATTAATTTCTTCGCTGTCAAGCAACAACACCGAAGGCTATTCAAAAATGTCAAAGTTATACCTGGCGAATCATGTGTTGCCCAACATAGACTTCTTGTGACAGACCTGGTTGTCGAACTGTCACAACATAAGTCTAAACAAATGCCTCGGAAAATCAAAGCGTGGAAGCTGAAAAGCAATATTTTATCAAGAAAAATTTCAACAGATTGTCGCCACACAGTTAGACCACTAATCGCTAGCCAATACAGATAAGAGTACATACATAACCGTTTTGATAAACGCTGCAACTACAGTTTGTGGGAAAACTGGTACAAAACGTCAGCATGAACGGGACACTTGGTGATGGAATGACGGTGTACAAAATGCAATAGCTGAAAAGAAAGTTGCATACAAGCAATGGCAAAAATCAAAGTCTGTTGATGACCATAAAATTTACCGTGAGAACAACTATGCAAGAGGTCAAGTTGCACTAGCTCGGACAGATCAGTGCAGGGAGTGGCTCACTAAAAACAAAGGTGAACAAATGAAATCTCTGTATCGTATAGCAAAGCAAGCAAAGCGTACGAAAAAAGACATAGTTGGCGCTTCATGTACCAAAAATGACAAAAATGAGATGGTTCTTGAAAAAGATGAGATCAAGCTACAATCAATCAATCAGTCTTCGTTTTGCGTCCAGAGTCCCGGTTCCCAAAGGTAGGACGTTGTTTTCTTTGTCATCAACTTTTTGTGCCAAATTAGACGATCAGTTGTTGATACAACAATTCATTTAAATTTAGAGCTTTCATGTCTTGCTCGATTGTTTGTGACCAGGACTTCTTTGGACAGCCTTTGGGACGTGTGCCAGGTACATCAAAATCTGCAAAAAAAGTTATGGCACTGTTTACACTTCGTTTGACATGACCAAACCACCGCAGACGGTGTTGCCGGCATTCGTCCTTTATATCATCTAAACCAGCACGACGCAGGATCTCGGTAGATTTGATGTGGTCTTTCAGACTAATTCGTTGCATCTATGGGAGCATTTTCATATTGGTTCGGGAAATTGTTGTTCCCGTTTGGTTGTCATTGGCCATGTTTCTGCGCTATATAACAACACCAGACGTACCACAGATTTATAAAGTCTTGATCGTAGTCACGCCGCATCAATATAGAGGCAAGAAGATGCCATTTATTCCAGGCTGCACGTATGCGTGCCCGAGCGGCAGCTTCAGCTGTTCCAGTACAATCCAGAACATTTCCTAGATATTGAAACGATGTGACTTTCTCTACCTTAATGGCTTCTAAAACAGTGCTATTTTGAATTTGTTGTTGTAGATTGATGCAAGCAGGACAAACAAAATTGGACACTTTAGATAAAGTACCAATTATTTTTGAACAACGTTTGTGACACCACTGGTTACACTGCTGACACTTGATTGAATTGTTACCTACACCAGCTTTACAAACTGAACATGGCCATCATCCAGTAGCTGTGGTTCATTGCTTTGGTTTTGCTGATGTTGTCCACAACAACAAACTCAAAACATTAATGTTTTTGAAGCCATTAAGGTAGAGAAAGTCACATCATTTCAATATCTAGGGGATGTTCTGGATTCTTTATTTCAAGAACGATTTTTATTACAACAAATGTATGTAAAAATTACAATTAATAAACAAATAAGTTGAATTTATTTCGTGATTTCAGGAATGAATTGAACTCACCGTTATGTAAAGATTCAATTGATTTAACCCAAGCGTCGTGATATACCAGTTCAAATTCAACCAAAACTTGTTGCATAATATTGTAATTGTAAACAATTTTATGCGCCATTTTCTCATTCATAACATTCGAGTAGGCCATAAAGTGATGTATAGGATTTTCCAACTTTTTACTGAGAACTCTGGCCCAACTAATTTTACCAACTACCGGTGAGGCGTTATTATGAACAGGAGGATCTAGGTAATTTGCTAAGTACACCTAAAATATAGTACATCTTATAAAGAAATTATTTAATTTTTATTATAAATTCTATTCATAAACACTGAAAAACTCGTTAATCCTCATTGCAATCTAATGTTAAAAATTGCACTTGACAATTTGTTTTTGTACGGCACCATTCCTGAAAAAATTCAGAAACGCTAGTTTTGCAGTGGACTGTTAAATAAATAAATTTTTAAACGTTTCGTGAACAATTGTTTAATTTTTTTTAGTTCTGCGGGTAGAACATTCCAAATTTGAGCTGACGATATATAAAAGTTTCTCTTATTAATCTTACTAATTAAAATTTGATAAACTAATTATTTTTGTAATTTTGAAAATTAGTTATAAATAACCCGATATTTTGAAAAAAAATATAAAATACTGACCCAAAATAAACTACTTCAATTTCATTTAAGTTGCAAATAAAAATTATTTCCATTTGATTGCCAAATGAAGGTGAATTTCGCGTAACCCTTTATTTCTTACTATTAATAATTACAAAAATACTACTAAATAATGATTGATAAATATTACCTGCTTGATATCTTCAATTTCTTTTCCGTATTGTTTAAATAAAACTTGAAATTTAGTAGTACAATCAAGCTTTGGAATGTTTAACTGTTGAAATCTTTCAAGATATTTTAGAGCCGGAAGTGTAGCTTTTATTTTAGATAAGCCATTATTCATAAAAGTGTAAAGAGAAAGCTAAAATTGAAAAATAATTAAACCATTTTAAATTAATTTCAAAATAATTATATGTAAATTACCTCTAAATCAGAAAGGACTTTGTTAAAATCATCAAAATCGTTATGAAAATCGAGTTTCCTTAATTCTAATACATCATATTGTTTCGATTTTATATTATTGAAAAGATTCTGAAACTTAATCGATATGGGATCAATGCCATCTATTAGGCAAGATTTTAAAATATCATATGTTTCCATAGAGTTTAAAACAAACAGTATCTGAAATATAATTTTATTGTTAAGTTTCAGTTGTATTACAATTATAAAACAAGTTAACCATTACTTTTACTCAAATCGAAAATATCAAAAATCGATAAGCGATTTATCACTAATCGGTTTCAGTTTGCTACATACATTCATTGAATTTTGCAAATTGAGGTACCCTTCTATTTTCTATACCATATTCTCCCATGAAATTATTATAATGATTAATTTTGGCATTCAAATCTTCGACAAAATTGATTTTTTAAATTTTTATTTCAACATCTATATACAATTTTTGTTGTCGGGGCGTGAGCAATTTATTTTAACATAGGTATTTGTTAGGTTTAAAACCTGGCATTCATATTCTTTCATTCATTTTCAAACATTCTATTTATGTCTTTCTTGCTTCATCTTCAAGTATTATTTTGATTTTTTGCATCTGAACATTAATATGTTGATATGCGGAAAAATGCATCGTATTATAATTCGGTATCTATATTATTATTTAGATAAATAGTTATTTATCAGGCTCCTTGCTCGCCAGCAGATTACTCATTTCATCGTTTTGTTCGTTGTTCAAACTCGTTGTTTCAAAATCTGTATATTTTCCTTCCTGCCAACCAGATCATATCTCAATAATATTGCCATTTGTGCAGCGCTCTATAGCGTCAAAGGCGACATAAACTTAAACTTCAAATATTAACAATAAATGCAGGGAATAAAATTTTCCATTGACAATACGAAAGTGAATCAGTAAACATTATTTAATTAGTTAATTTAATTAAATATAAAAACAATAAGTTTTAAAAGCAATTAAATTATAATAGAAAGAAGGATTTTTTAATTTTTATAATTTGAAATCATAAATAAATGATAGAAAATTATTAAAGTTTTAAAAACATATGAACCTTGTCTAATCTTCTACAAAAGGCTTCAAATTTTCCGAAAATACATTGTTCAGAAAAATCAAAATGGATACCTGTCATGGATAAATAAATAATAATCAATTTAGTGGATATTGAATGTGTCTTATCAAAATAATTTTTAGTAAACATACAAAACTTAAGACTCACATTAAATAAAAAAATAAAAATAATGACAAATAAAAACATTTTTTGTTTCTGGATAGAAAGCATGATTTTTTAGTTTTTTTAAATTTAATGCAAATGAAAAATAACTGTGGTCTTCAAAAATATTTAGATTTCGCGAATAGAACAAAGTATGAAATTGTAAGGTTTGTCCTAAGCATAACGTTAAAAGCTGTGGTGACGCAGTAAATGCATTGTAACACATTGTAAAAGTCACTTAAATGTGTGATTATGGCCCTTTAAATTACTTCCATTATTCACTGGCCTATGCTTAAATGCAAAAATCTCTAAAGCTCAATTCTACTTAATATTTATTAGGGCCTTTAAATGATATATTTAAAAAAATGGTCCAAAAAGAAGAAGTTCAATGAGTTTTGTGCGGAATGGCGACTTACTTTTTATGAAAAAAGCCACAAAAACATTATAAAAGTAATTAATGTGTAGCACCTTAATGTCATTTTTAATATCACAATCAATCAAAAAATTTAAAAAGTCTTGTCTTGTTTATATATTTTCCCGTCTTAAATGTAAAAAAATATTTAAAAAAAGTTTTCATCAATTCCTAAATAATGACCTATACAACAAAGTAAAAAAAGCAAAAAGAACTCTTTAAAATTATTTGATGATTGTTACTTTTATGTATTTAAAAACCATTTTAAAGTAATTTCCAGCTAAAAAACATGTTGTAAAATTGTCGCAAGCAAGGTTTTAAATAATTTTTAATCAATTTTATTAAAATATTTTGGATCAATTTTGAGTGTGTGTGTTATCGTGGGCAATAATGAAATACGCAACAAAAAGCTTCTTACAAACATACATGAGAATAATAAACTTCAACTTCAAACTACAAATTTCAATCATACTGAAGAATAATTTTATAAAACTGTCACTTGCACGTGTGTGTAATAAGTTGAAATTGGTTCAAAAAAATTTAAAACAAATTGCATACAAACGTAAGATGCTTATAGAAATAGCAAAAAATCAAATTAAAAGCATTTTTTTACACTAACAAATGTTGGTAAAATATATATATCACCTCCAGGTACTCGAGCCATTTTATCTTTTGTGTATTTATAAGCTTCTCTGAACGCATCTTTTAAATTCACGCAATCAGCTATCTTACAAATTACTTCTTTTCGAGACTGTTCCCAAACTCTTTCCCGGCCGTGATTCGTTAAATGTACTTTGCAGGCTATTAACATCTGATTAGTTATCTAAAATTTAAAAATAAAATTAACATTTAGTTTTGTTTAAGTTAAAATAATCCAAAAACACAAGAGCTTTAATAAAATTTCCAAACGATTTTAAAACTTAACTATCTAAATATATAATTTTTGCCAATGATATTCGTTTGTTTAAAACGGTGTAGTCGGTAAGTATAATATATATATATATATATATATATATATATATATATATATATATATATATATATATTAAGGTGAGTCGAAATGTAAAAAATATTAAGTTGGAGATCCTGTACATGTCTAAAAAGTTGCTTTTTGATGTACTCGTTTGAAAAAACCTCACTTTTTATTTTATGGACAGTGTCTACAGGTCCCAACTCTGACTAGAAAGACTACATAAATACCCAATGTTAGTGTAATGTATTGCAATGTATTACAAATTAAAAAGAATGTAAACTGTAACGAATCAATGTTAAACAGCAACAATACAAAATTGTTTAACCTAACTGTTAATAAAATCCTTCTTGCTGTCTATTTTTGGTATCTCTAATCTGGATTTCTTACTCTGTAACACCATGCCATGACGGGACTTTCTCCCATAAACTTTACAGCTGGCAGCGCTAACGTCTTTAATTGTTCTCTCTACTGCCTGTGAATGACATGGAACATCGGGCAGTAGTATTGGATGTGTGTAAGTAAGTTGATCATTTGAAAGGTGTGATAGCATCGGAAGAGATAGCATTACTCTGGTCTCAGTCAATCATGTTAATGAACGATGTCGCAGCCAGATTTAATGTTATATCCTTCTTATCAAAGACGCGAACCGGTATGTTACTATTAGTCTGCTTCTCTCTTGCTCTTATTATTTGTGCTACTGAAAAACGACGAATTTCCATATCACTATCACTAACTGCAGCTAAGAGAATGTTTTCAGCATGCGCAAAGTAGCAGTTATTTTTGAGAACAGGACGAACCACAGCCTGATCTAAGGCATCAAGTTCCCGAAACAACTGAACTAAGTAAAAGAAGTTTTTAGCACCATTTCGGCAAGAAGAATTTGATTTAATTTTGAACCAAGAGGGTCCGTAAAAGTTCAAAATGAAATGCGTTACTCTTCTGAGAGGTTCAGATGCCACTTCTCTAGACATGTAGAGACGCAAAATCCTGTTGGCTTTCGTTAACCATCGAGCATGACTTATATTTCCAGGTAAACTCTTCTCGAGGAAATCAATATCTGTAGAAGCCTGACGTCCACGCTGTACTGCTAGACATGCTTTTCAAAAACTACAGTTAGTCTGTGCTAAGATCCTTCTTGACAGCTTCATCACAATCAGTCACCTTACCAGTAATTGGCAAATAATTAACGACAGGCAATTCATTTGGATCATATTCTAGAGCTGAGCTAATTGTACCTGTCGATGTGGTTGGTCCTGTAGTTCGAGCAAAATCCACGCCTGCCAAAAACCTTCTAAATTGCAGCTCGTTACAGTGTGGAAGGCATACCAACCACTGTAATGGTCTACCTAAATTCTCCTCCAGTTAAATGAAGTGATTTATCTACAGTCTAGACTATAGCCTACTCTAGTATACATCTATATTAGCCTACTTGAATTTTACTATTGATCTATTATTGCAAAGAAGAAAATAAAATTACAAAATAATACATTAGATATTTTGCTTGTTTCTAAAAAATCCAGCACATGGTTTGTTGTTAATGTTGGTGACGTCACATGCAAATAACGTTATAAAATTTACTCCATTTCTTTTTTAGCACTTGTAGTTAGGTGCTAAGCCATTTGCCAATGCATTTTAGTCAATGATTTATAGTTGGTACGTATTTAGATTGTACCAAGGAAATGGTTAAAATACACCAAATAAGGTGAGACTTTAATCAAAAGTTGGGACCCCTAAACGTTTCATAAAAAATCTTTAAATATTATTTTCATACTGTACTGATGCCAAGACAACTTTTTGTTCATGTACAGGAAAGATAAAAAAATTCGACCCACCCTAATATAATTATATATATATAATATATATATATATATATATATATATATATATATAGTTTGGAACGAGGCCTTCGTTGATGCATATTTCATTAAATTTGTATGCCCACTATGCGTTCAAAAAATTTTTGATAAGCACTTCAACACCACGTAGTTTTTTGAATTCGTATTTATTTAAATCATCCATGAAATTTGTCAGCTGACAGCGCTGTTTCGGCTATTTAGCCATCATCGGAGCTGTGAATAATATTAAAATATTAAAATCATTAAAATGAGATAAATTAGGAAGATATAAAATAATATTAAGATGAAATTAAATTATATATTGAATGTTGATAACAATAGTTTAATAATGTAACGTACCTATAAAATATGGTTAAACATAAAATTGAAAAATAGTAACAAAATTATTTTGTTGTTGTTTGGTGATAGGGTAAGTGATAGTTGGGATCTGACTAATATTTAGGAGAAGGAAATTATTCTCCTGGTGGGGCTTTATGTTTTCGTATAAATAGCCCGGTGAGTATTCGCCAGTAAGTGTATAAATAGGGTCTTCAGGGTTATTGTTATTAATTTTCTAATTATTTTGTTGATTTTAATTCTGATTTAGGGTCTTTTTTATTTTTTTTTTAAATTTTGTGCGGTGGTTTGAGATTTCACCCAACTTGGCGTAATATTCATTCTTGTCCAGCATTACAAATAGGTTGGACTTGTTCGCTCGTCGAACAACAATGTCTTCATTCTCTTTTAGCTGCTCTGCAGCTTCTCAGCTCATCCGTCTTTGCTTTGAAAATTTCCTTGATGCTTTTTGGCTTCAGCTTAAAGCTCGATGGCTATGGAAAAATTTATGTGTACTTTTCAATTTTATTCAGCATCAGAGATATCAGTTTGTTTATCTCTAGTTTTTTCTATCTTGTTCGGTTTTTTCATAAAGTGATAATTAATTCCCAAGTTGAAAAACTCTTTTTGCTTCTCAGTGAGAGTGTGATGGCTTAAGTTGACAAATTTCTTTTCTAGTATGTTGTTATTGCCTTGTTTACTCAGTGATGTTAGTTTTTTATGTACTTGCAATTTGATTGATTGTTGGAATTGTGGAATTGATTGTTGGAATGATGTAATGAATTCTTTTAGTGCTTAGTTAATGTTTGTTCGTTGGCTGAGCAGCGATTGCACAGTCTATTTTGTTCAGTTATTTATGAGGTTATTTGATTAACTAGAGTATTATTAGCTTCTAACTCACGAGAAAGATGCAAAAATCGTTTTTGACTTTCTTGCTCGAGAGTTAAGTTACCTCAGTTGGCCGTAGATATTTTTGTAAAGGCTGGAAGGAGGCCATAATTGATGCAATATTTGATCAAATTTACCGAAAGTTTACTTTTGTGAAAGTTTACGATTGTTTTTTAATATTTATTAACAGTCAAGTTTATGATGTTGCAAATATATTAGTGATGGTTCGATGTCAAAATATCAATTCGATTTCGATTATTGAAATTATATCGAAATCGGAACGAACTTTCGATAATCGTACCATCCCTGAAATATATATTGGCGGCGGAATTATCAAATAAAAACAAAATACTGTATGTAAAGTGTGTCAGAAATGAGAAAGTAGTTTTTTGAATCACGATTTGCTAATTTTTGCTTAAACTTGAAAAAATGCCACTTGAATTCGTGTATAGTGAAAAAGGAAAAAGAAAATTAATTGACTCAGGTCACTTGTTCGTAAAAGATGCGGCTATGGAAGAAAAAACTTTCTGGAAATGTGATCAATATCAAAATGTTGTATGTCGGGCACGTTTGCATACTCGTAATGACGAAATTGTAGAGAGAGTCGGTGAACATAACCACGCAGGAAATGCTGCTCGGGTCGAAGTTATTAAGACTGTGAATCAAATGAAAAATGATGCTAGAGAAACGCAGGATGTTCCTCAACGAATTATCACCAATTCTTTTATTGGCCTTTCACGGGCGGCATCTGGCCAAATGCAAAATATTTCCACACTTAAAAAGACTATTCGAAATACCAGGCGTCTTGCTGATCATGCACCATCGAATCTAAATTCTTTGATGAACTTAGTCCTCCCTAATGACTATCAAATTACACACAATGATGGTCAATTACTTATGTTTGATAGTAACGATGGTCCTAACCGAATTCTCATTTTTTCAACTCAGCGTAATATGCAGCTTCGTTCATACTCTGAAAATTGGTACGCTGATGGAACTTTCAAAATTTGCTCCACTTGTTTCATCAATTTAACACTCTTCATGGAATCTGCAACGATCGCGTTATTCCTGCTGTTTTTGTTTTATTGCCATCGAAAACGGAAGAAACATACAATCGGCTATTCCAACAGCTTATAAATTTGTAACCCAATTTAGCTCCAACCTCAATTACAACTAAATTTGAAACAGCCACTATTAACGCTTTTAATAATGAATTTCCCGAATCACAACAAAAAGGATGCTTTTTCCATTTTGGTCAATGCCTGTGGCGAAACGTTCAAGCAAATGGCCTTCAACATAGGTTCAACACATCTCAAATAAATCCCGTTTTTTCAAAAATTTGAAATCTTTTGTATAAAAAGCAAGTTAATTGTTCTCATGTTTATCAATATGCATTTTATAATTTTATTATTAATATTATAATTATTAATTATGCGCTTTTTCTTAAAAGTATGAAAATGATCCGGAATTCGCCCTCAAAATACGAATGATTTTGTCGTTAACTTTTGTTCACCCAAATGACATTATAGAAAGTTTTGAACAACTTATCGGAGGATATCTCTTCAATATCTAGAGATTGTTCTGGATTGTACTGGAACAGCTGAAGCTGCCGTTCGAGCACGCATACGTGCAGCCCGGAATAAATGGCATCTCCTTGCCTCTATATTGATGCGGTGTGACATCCCACTACCACTACGATCAAGACTTTATAAATCTGTGATACATCCGGTGTTGTTATATGGTGCAGAAACATAGCCAAGAACAACCAAACTGGAACAACAACTTCAACGA